CTGACTGTAAAAGAGTTAGTGCCTCACCAGCTGTCAACCTCACCGCATGTCATTGTGTTTAGATGCTTGTTGCTTGGTGGCCACCGTGAGAGTGATGTATGTCTGAAGAAAGTTAGGGACAGAGGTTTGCATGACTGAAACTTTGGGTGTGTTTAAGGGGGTCTGAATACTTTCTGTACCCACTGTAGTTATTTAAAAGAAAAATGGGGGGAAATAACTACTCAGTCGTTCAGAAAGCCGACAGTGAATATCACTAAGAGGCGAAAACCAAACTAATGGGAAATAGTTGGTGCAAGAGAACTCCAACAGAGTTAACTGGGGATGCAAAATATATGAACTACAAAAATGAAAAGAAATATGGGTTTAAAGGTTGACTAACGCAGTCCGACTGCGCTAAATCAGTCCAACAAATAGAAAAACAGATTTTTACATGAGACCCAGACCAGACGCTCCAGCCAAACCAGTCCGACCACCAAGAGAGAGTCCAGGACTCTCTGCTTCACCTGACAAGGCAAGGAAAGCCTGCCTTAAATCATTACAACAACGCTGTTAAGCTGCTCTATATTGTACAAACCACATGAATATCTAGCCCTGAAAAAAAAAAAAACAGTTCTACGGTACATCAGTGGCCAATACACATTCTCTGATTAAATTTTTATTTGAGAGGCTGTCAGACCCAAACCTACAATTTCCTTACAAAGACATTAAGCACTTCATGATACTTTAGAAATCGCCAAACATGCAAAATGCCATTTTAAGAACCAAGCTAAAAGAAGTTTGCTACAGTTGTGTTAATAGCTCCCTAGGGGAGAAGTTTCTGCTGTCTTAATTCCAGAAGGAACAGCGTCATGGTGACCACACGGAAGGGGACACGAAATGGTGGAAAACTGGACTGGACTGGTCAGGAGCAGACAGGTCAGAGGTCCACAAACATATACATAGGAGCTGCGCGAGTAAAATGATATAATGACGATGTTGCTTTGTTTGTTCTTTTCCATTTTTTATTGTTTTGAATTTATGTATGGTTTTGCATTTTATTTTTCCATTTTGATGAGGATTGCTTTATTGGTATCTTTCCATTTTTGTGTTATTCATTCTGCTTATTTTTTCCAGTTGTTTAAGAATGCTGCCTGATGCAGTTACAAGGAAAATCTGTTTGCAAGTAGCCGCTGACGTACGCACTGTGCTGCCGGAGGTGTTCATCCACCCCTCCAAATTATTGAACTCAGGTGCCCCGCTCTCTTCTGTCGCTACGGGTGCAATCAACCACCCAGGCATGCATCCAGCTTCTACAGACAGTTGTGAAAGGATCAGCCGCTCTCAGGATCTCAACAAACTCCAGCCTGGTGCCAGTGGCGCAGTGGGTCTGGTCCTGACACTTCATGTGACCTGCAGAGTGGCCCTACCCCGGGACATGGAGAGCTCCCTGAACGGGGGGCTCCATGGTTGAACTGCCACATCCACACCAACACCACTGAGTACGATGCAGGGCATTGGCTCATGAGGTGAAATTGGTCATACTACATAATACTAGCTGCAATTGAGAGTTGCCACTACCCCACACAGAGAACATAATGTGACAGATTGCGTGAATGTTAACTATTGTAATTTAACCAGATTCAAATATACAGAGTTGTGAAACAAATTTCCATGACGTTTCCAAAACTTTGTGGGTTTATTTATTTTTCCAAAACTTTTCAAGGCCTGGAAATTGCTGTTTTAAAATTCCATGACTTTTCCAGGTTTCTCATGACTGTACAAACCCTGTATTTAGTGTTTTTACTCACTTTTTGTCTCTCCCATGACATTATTCCTCTCTCCTACAGCGTCCATTACAATTACATGCAAATTGACTATTATGCAAATTATGTGATGCCGTTATTTAGCGACCTCTAGTGACAATTATGACAGCCAATAGCTACTTTCCTTACCTGTTGGCAACACTGCTTCTAGGTCCTTACTGAACAAAACTCACTGGATACAGATATAATACAAGTTATGGTCAAGAAAGAAAAAGAAGAGGCAAAACAGAAAATAGGCAAGAGACTAAAAGAGAGGGACATAAAAAGGAGAAAAGATGATTGCATGAGTATCGGATAGATACTATCTTGGGTACCTTGTTTTAATTAATAATTACTCCTATTTAAAAGACAGTCTGCAGCTCCCAATTTACAACATGCAGTGGAAGACCCTGGTGGCCAAACTGAATATTATAAAAAAAAACTGAAAAATGAGCCTTGGAAAAAAACTAAATAAACAAAAGAGTGCACCTGTTTCACAGATGAAGACAGAAATAATCCTTCATTTCAGTACGGTTCTTTCTGAAAATTTCATGGTTCCTCACAAGGTCCAGAGGACATCACAACCTATGTTAGTCGAAGTTAAAAGTCAGTGATTCAATGACTTTTAAGAAGACCTGCAATGTTTAAACATACACTTGTGAAGAAATGAGTGTGGAGGCTGTTTTGAAACAAAAAAGGCTGAGGTCCACAAACCGCCACTTCTCATATGAATCACATGGTGAGCCTTTCAGTGATGCCCTTAGGAAGTTGGAGGTTGGATTCTTCAATGTTGTTGTTGATGCAGCCATGTCAGCCATCAGGGAGAGGTTTACTACACTGGAAAATGTGGAAAACAAATTTGGGGTTTTGACAAAATTCCAAAGTATTGCAGATGAGGAGCTGGCAGAGCAATGCAATGCACTAGGCACAACACTGCACTTTGTAGGGCACTCTGATTTGTACAGTAGAGAGCTTGTGCAGGAAATCAAGAACTTCCCTCAACTGCCATCAAAAACCACGAGCCTCATTGAGCTCATCATTTTTCTGCAAGATAAGGATCTATCAGAGATCTACCCTAACTTTTGGACTGCTCTCAGGATTGCACTTACTCTGCCAGTCACAGTGGCTCAAGCAGAGAGGAGCTTTTCAAAACTGAAGTTGATCAAGTCATACCTGAGGTCAACCATGTCTCAGGAACGGCTCACTGGCCTTGCTATCATCAGTATCAGTCACTCAATAGGGGAGCAGATTTCGTATGATGGCATTATTAATAATTTTGCATCAGGGGAGGCCAGAAAGGTCAGATTTTAGTTTTAGTTTGTGTTTTCTGTTTTTAGTGTAGTGTAATAATAAGATTTTCTTTAGTGTGATTTGTGTGATGGATTTGTGCTATTTAGAATATTCTATATTTTATTTGTATATTATTCTTAATATTTTATATTATTGTTGTTCTCTGCTCTGGTTATATTCTGATTGTACATATTTTTGACACATTTTTTTGTATACAGAATTTTTTTTAAAGTTCTGATGACTTACACTGTTTTGTGCAGAATTGTGGTTTTCAAATGTTCTGTTGAAGGATTTGTGCATTTGAGAAAGAAGTTTGTCTTACACTTATATTGTTACAGTAAAACATCACTGTGCAAAATTTAGTGTTTTTCTTGGGGGGTGGGGGCAAGGTGGGTCTCGCCCGGGTGAATAATTCAGTGTAGAACCGCCACTGACCTGGTCATAACAAAATGAGTAATTTCAATGTGTGTGTGTTGTCACCTGGTGCTTAGCTAAGGCATTCATTCAGACATAATATTCTAACACAAGATTTAATACAAGAAAACAATTGGTTTCATGGTACACTTTTCAGAATCAACATTCTATCTGTCAATCTTGAAACAGAGCAGACTAGAACAGACTCTGCATTACTAATACATTTAATTCAACACATTGTTTACTAATTATCTAATTATTATCTAATTTCTAACAAAATAAAATGACACAAAGACACATTTAAAAGTCATCTCAGCAGCTGTTCTATTTTTTTTTTTGATAAGCTTTCATGTGCTTTTGTTTAAAATAATTTGTGAGATGCTCAAACTTACCGAATCATAATTAGATGTTTGTTTTGAGCACAAGAAGAGAATAATCAGATGCTCCCCAATGATCAAATCAATATCCTTATTAGAGTAGGGTCAAAATGACTTCCATTGTGTAAGAGGGAAGCTTTGGGGATTGATGAGGAAAGTATATCTTCCACTGTCCAGGGGTCATGCAGCTGTCTGCCTACTGCTTTTAGATGCAATATCAGTGAGAACTGCTGCTAAGAAATCCTGAAGAGAACACCATGTAATGTAAGCAATGCACACTGACTTTTATTTTCTACGCTGGAATTATGATTGTCTTTGTTGAGGTCTAATGTTCAATATGATATGATTCCCCTGTTCTTTAGACTGGAGAGCTTTTAGGCAGAGGCTGTCCTCCAACACACAGCTTGTGGAGTTCAACTATGTCATTGCTCAGGACTGTTTTTAATGATTCTGTTATCATTCATCCTCCAGGCTTCTATATTACTGGATTACAAACATTACCCTACATCAGTGTCTATGTCATCTTTCTAGCATTTGTTTATGTGGTCACAGTGCTGTTTAACAGTTTGGTGATCTATGTAATTGTCTTTAATCATTGTTTACACACTCCAAAATTTGTGGCTGTGGGCAACCTCGCAGTAATCGATTTAGTCCTTAACACATGTATTATTCCCAGCATGATAAATATTTTCCTCATTAAGGATAACTTTGTCCCATTTAACTTATGCCTAGCACAAATGTATGTTTACTATGCTTTTGGGACTTTGGAATCATTTGCTCTTGCTATACTTGCCTATGACAGGATGATTGCAATATGTGTTTCTTTGCGTAAGAACTCAATCAACACACAGCAAAGCATGTCTTTTATTATTGGTTTGACTTGGTGTTTTAGTCTGGGAATCATTGCATTTGCAGTAGGTATAATGACTCGATTGTCTTTTTGCAATTCCCTCACAGTGTTGAGTTATTTCTGTGACTATTCACCTGTGTATAGACTCGCCTGCAATGATTACACAATGCAGTGGACTGTGGCCAATTCACTTAGTTTCTTGATTCTTATTGTACCCTTTACTTTAATCTGTCTGTCTTATGTCAGCATCCTGGTGACCGTGTTCAGGATGAAATCTTTAGACAGTCGAGTTAAAGCTTTGGCTACTTGTATTGAACATATCATCCTTGTTGCTATATTTCACCTTCCTCTCATTACCATTTTTAATATTTCATTTTATCTGCATTTTATTAATGATGACCTGCCATTTCTATGCCTGTCTCTGGCCTCTTGCACCCCACCCTGCATCAATCCTATGGTATACTCTCTGAAAACCAAAGAGATTAGAAACAGAGCCCTGGCACTGGTAAGAAAAACTAAAATTGCTACAGATCAAGAGAAGAAAAGGCATTGGAGAGGTTTAACAACAAAAATGTAGGCAAGAAATATTTATGTATAGGAAATGTATTAAATAAATTTGGCACACAACACTGTTTTTTCATTCATTCATTCATTCATTTTCTACCCTGGGGGCGGGGGGAGATATACTTTCCTCATCAATCCCCAAAGCTTCCCTCTGACACAATTGAAGTCATTTTGATCCTGCTCTAATAAGGACATTAATTTGATCCTTGGAGAGCATGTGATTATTCTTTTCTTGTGCTCAAAACAAACATCTAATTATGATTCAGTAACTTTTACCATCTCACCCCAATTCTTTTAAAACACAAACACATGCAGCGTTATCAAAAAAAAGACAAAGTAGGACAGCTGCTGAGATGACATCTAAACCTGCTTTTCTCTGTTTTCACATGTAACACAATCACAAGATATAACTCTATTACAGAAACTAACAAAATGTCTTGTGAACTTAGTTTATGCAAAATGAAGAAACAACATATTGTTCCCTAAATGTATAATTATCACACACAATAAAGATACCACTTCTCTTCAGAATTAATTTGACAGGTGGTCCCGCCCCTTAGCCCCGCCCCCAGCCAATCAGAATCATTCATCCGGTTCTTAGTCCCGCCCCCAACCAATCAGAATCGTTCTTCTGGTTCCTAGTCCCACGTGGCCCCCACGTGGGTACGCATCCCACCCCCCTGCATCTGTTGACAGAGATAAGGAAGTTGTGCCTGCATCTGTTGACAGAGATAAGGAAGTCGTGGTTAACTGCATCTGAAAGATAAACAGATATCGGTTACAGCCCCACCACACATATTGTTATATAGATAAGTATTATATCCAGTCATAATGTTTCTTT